CTTGCAGCTCTCTGGATGGTGGTGCTGTGTGTCTGTGAGTCTGTGTCACATCTTGGAGATGTGCAGGGAGAGGAGCAGCTGTGGACAGATGCAGAGGGACAGGCAGCAGTGTGGTCAAGAGGGAGAGTATCACACCCACATAGAGTGGGTGTCTTGGTTACTTTTCTCTCATTGCCACAACAAAATACCTGACCCCCAAAATGAAGGAAGGAAAGTTTTATTTAGCTCACAGTTTGTGGAGGTTTTAGTCCATACTTGGGTGATCCAAGGCAGAGTGGCACATGGCAGAAGGCAATAGTTCATGGCAGTGGAACAGCAAAGCAACAAGAAACAAAATGGAGGAGCTGCAGGAAGAGCAAGACTCTTTCCCTTGCATACACAAACTATCCACCCCAGGGCAGGTGTAGCACTCACACCCAATCACTCAAAACTCTAAAAGCCCGCCCCATGACTGCATGTGTCTTTAGGGGGACACCGAGATACAAACCCTAACAATGCGGTCAGTCTGGGGTGTCCAGGCAGTGTGGTTGAGGAAATCCTGTGTAGGGACAAGGGGGCCTCAGTTTAGCTCCAGTAGTTCTGTTATTAACTTCTAGGGGGCTTTGAACCAGTTCCTTCTCCCTGAGCCTCACTCTGTGCATATGTACAGGTACTCAGTGGGTTTCCATCTTGGATATGGTAGTAGACACTTTCCATGCCCTACCTAACTTTATACTCACGATTCTTCCACACCTGGGTGGCTGCCCTCCTACCTGCGACCCTCTGCTGGGGGTTACCCATGGGATAGGTCACAGTGCTCAGTAGCAGTCTTTAAGTCATGACAGAGAGTTGTATACATAGCCTCCCTTCCTTGCTCATATGGAGGATTAAGTCTGGAGTTTGGTCCCCAGGACTGACCGCAGTAGTCCATGAGGAAACTTGTTCACAGCACATCTGCATTACCTAATTCTATCCTTGTCTCTTCTCTACTCATTTCCCAGTACTTTCTGGACAACCCCCCACCAACATACACACAAGATTACATTTCAGATCCTTATCTCACAGCCTTCCCTTGGGAGAACCAAACCCAAGACCTCATGCTAGGCTTCTGTGATTCCATTATTACATGTGCACACATTGAAGGTTGTCAAGTCTTTTTAGAGAATGGACCCCTTTATTATTGTCCAATGTCCCTCTTTCTTCTTTGTAATGTTCATTCACTTACTACTAACAGAGTCACCCAACTTTCCTTTCAAGTGTATTTTGTATTTTACTGTGTATTTCTACCCAAAATTTGCTTTACAAGTCAAAACTAGTGAAGCCATGCCCTGACCCTGACACACTGAAAGCAGTTTTGATACAGCCTTATTGAGGTCTCCAGGAGCAAGGCAGTTCTCCCCGGCAGCTCCAACATTGTTTGAGACAGGAAGGAAAAGACATTGGATTAGTGTGTGTGTGTGTGTGTGTGTGTGTATGTGTGTGTGTGATTGGAGCAGGAGCCATGGCCAACTTTACGAGATTTGGATTATCTCCTGGCACCAAAGGAAGAAATGCCTAGGCTTTCTTATCAGCTTCTCCAGACAAAGAACAAAGGGGACTGGGGAGGTTTAAAAGTTTTTAGCCACCAAATAGCATAAAGTGGGGTCAGAATTCCATTGTGCAGTGCCTAGTTGGCCCTGGTGTTTAAATCCAACTGGTAATCTCTTGTAATCGATCAGTTTAAGTCACTTTAATTTCATATAATCATTGATATGGATGGATTAAAACCTGTCATCCTCACATCATTTCTCTATTTGTTCTTGTGTTCTTTGTTTCCGTTTCCTGCATAATTACTTGTTTTTGGATTGAGGAATTTTTATCATTTAGTTTATCATCACAATTTGGGTAGCACAAAGTGGAGTCAGACTTTCATTGTGCAGTACATAGTTGGCCCTGGTTTTTAAATCCAACTGATAATCTCTTATCCATACCCAGAACTATGCTATACCAGTCAGTGAACTAATTTAATTATAACACCCTCAATCCATTTTCACACACACTTAATCCACATTCACATACCCTGGACAGCTACCTCTAAATATCATTCTGTGTGAGTCCATAGGTTTGGAGGTGGGCACCTAGATACAAGCTGTAACAATTCTCTTAAGTGTAACATCTGACTCAAATTCTTTCAATGTTACTGTTAGACAAGGATTTAGAATTTAGCATCCCTGGAGATAGACAACTAGGGGCTGTGTGAAAAGTAAGGGAGGCATGAAAAGCAAAAACTGTGATTTCTTTTTTATTTTTCCTTCATTTTCTTAATCAGTAGCCATAAACAAAATAGGAATGAGTTATAGTTCCAAGCTATAACCCAAGAGAATGTAACTTCCTCTAAGTATACTGATAAAAGGTTCAAGACCAGTTAAATGTCCAGACTAGTTTGAGGATTTGCAAAAGACATAAAACAAATCAATGAAAACATTCTACCTACAGGGTAAACAGGAAAGGCCAAAACAAGCCCATTTTCTTTGATATTCCTGGAAACCACACTTAATCACATCAACGTGGTCTGAACCTTAATTAGATGCAACTACCATCTTGGTGCTTACCTGCACTCAAGCATGAAGGTGCACTGTTTTTATCTGTCCCTCTGAAAATCTACCATTTTCCAATAAACTGTGCTTATCCATTGTATGACTTCCTGTGTGTCTTGTCTGATTCTTTTGTTAAAGGTACAAGAAGCAATAAGCTTTTCGGTTTGCATGTGGTGTTGGGACCTGGCTCCCAGCGACATCACCTTGGGCTCTGCTTATTCTAGCATATGTGTGTGACAGCTGGTTTCTGAAAGGGTTTCTTGCTGTCTTGTTCTGCCCTCAACTTTAGACCTGGCCTGCACACCTGCCCTGTAGGAATGGACTGTGACTACACCTCACGTTTCCCTAGCAGACTGCAGGTACCTGACATCTGGTATTTGCTGACTTGAGAGTGGCATCTATGCCACCGCAGCTTCTCTTGCCCTGGTCTCAACTTCAGGGGGACCTGTTTTCTTTAGTCTTGAGATGGGCTTTTTCAGCCATTCTGTCTTCCCTAGCAATAAAACATTTACAATGATTTGAACCCAGAATAATTTCCTGTCCCACACTAGGAGGTATAAAGTTTTAAAATTTTCATTTTCCTCAGCTGCAGTAAGGCTATGAAAAGAGAGTTGCTGAGAGAGATCAGTTTTACTGATCTTTCCTAGTGATTGTAGTTTTGTTCCTCAAAAGAGAAGGATCTGAGCGGGAGAAGGGGCAGGCAAAGATTCCCCCCAAAGGATCACTTTGAGGCATTTTCTTTCTTCTTCACTATCTGCTTCCAGTTTCCCCCATAAACACTTGATAAAGGTTCATGGAGAAGGGTCTATAAAAGGTGTAAATACCCCTATGAGTCTGTGGGTTTGTAATATTGTGGTTCTGCTCTTCATTCCTGTTCCCTGGCATGCAACTTCCCCAAACCATGGAATCTCTGAAATGATGAGTCTTTTGTGCACTATTGATTTGACTTATGGCTGGCATCTTCTAGGTAGTTTTGGGATGGGGAAAGGTTACTAGAAAAATAAAGGCACGATTAGAGATCTCGGACTTACAGTCCCATTCCCAGCCCTCCTGGGAATGGAAAAGGGACTGAGGATTGAGTTGATTACAAATAGCCAATAATTTAATCAATCATGCCTACCTAAGAAGGTCTCCACAAATAACTTCAAGGACAGGGTTTGGGGAGCTTGTAGATAGTTGGCTAGTTGTGGTTCCTGGAGAGTGGAGCACTGAGAGACCATGGAAGCTCTGTGCCTCTTCTTCTATACCTTACACCTGTGCATCACTTTCATCTGTATCTTTGGAATTAAACCTTAAATGTGTTTCCCTGAAATCAGTGGAGCAAGCTAATCAAACTCAAGAAGGGGGTTGTGAGAATTCAGTTTCTAGTCAGTCCACAAGAAGCCCAGGTATGATTGACACCCAAGAGAGGGAGAGTCCTGTTAGATAGAGCCCTCAATCTATGGGATATGAGACTATACTCAGGTAGAACTAAATGGAGTTAGAAGACACTCGGTGTCTGCTACAGAATTGCTTGGTGCATGAGGGCAAAAAACCCCACTAATCCCGATACATTCAGTGTCAGAAGTACTCAGTGTTGTGAGTGCATAGAAGAAGAAACTGAGTATTTTTTCTACTCAAGTTCCAAGGATTTTATATTCACATCCTAGAGACATTTGGTCTTTAGCTCTTGATTAAATTTGGCCAAGTATCACAGGACCCTATCCTCCATCTGTAAATAGAAAGTAAACTGAAGCTTCATTCCAGCAGTCCTCAAAGTACCTATCTTCCCCTTGATCTCAGGCTAATCATTTCCCTTGTAACTTCTACTCTTTGATGCAAAGATTATGATTTTGAGGAAAATACAGCTGCTCCTTGCTGTAGAGGTGAGAGCGAGACTCTTTGGAGCTTTCCACACCCCAGCTGAATCTGAAAGTCACCCGGCAGATTCTGAAAAAGTCTGATATTTTAGGGAGGGACGTACTCCCATACGGTACTTGTGTGGACCTGAAGTGGACCAGGACAGTTTCTGGAAGGCACAGACTCATAAAGGGGCCCGGGGACTACTGTGTACATTGAAAAAGGGGTTGTAGAGCTGTGCAAGGATCAGTAAGATGGTGCAACAGTGCTACAGACTCACCAGTGTACCTCTCCCTTTTCTTTTTCTAGAAACATGCTTGGCATGTGCCATATCAGTCTCCACAGGCATTTCCACAAAGAGAAGACACTCCACCCTGACTATGCCAGAGTCTCTTGTTGGAAATTTTGAGGGGAGGCAGAGAAATGGAGCAGGCCCAGAATCCCCTTAGCACCTCCAATTGACCCAAGCCTGATGGATTCTGTGTTTCATGCCAAGCCATCCTTATAGAACCAGAGCCTTCCTATGGATGAAACCTCTCTCTACATACTCTCTCTCTGAAGAGGATGAATTCATCCCCAGCCCAAGACACAGACACTGGACTGATCTCCAAAAGAGTATTTATTTCACAAATTGAAGATACAAGGACAAACATGCTTTCTCCCTGTCTGCTGCTTATGCCCAACAAACAATTCTCCAGCCTCCACAGGATATACCTTCAGCCTATAAACAACATCTCTAGAATACACCTGTGTTGGCTGCTCCAGGATTCTGAGGCTGGCTGATCCTCTTACTTACTCCTCAATGTGTTCTCCTTGGGGTAGCTTCTCCACTGCCTCCCTGGCCCTGAGTTCAGTCCAGAAAGCCACTTCCTTCTCTTTCAGCCTCTGGGCAGCCTGAGTACTGGCACCAATTTGCAGGTATCCTTCCTTTTCATCATACTTTGGCCAGTGGGGCAGCCCCTCCCCATTGGGGTTCCTATGAACAGAATCAGATACAAATTTCCCAAGGCTGCTATGTATGGTTCTCATATTTCTCTGAGATTTTCAGGGGTCCCTGGTTTATTTTCCCAGAGGCCTCTATACCTCCAGAGATGGTGATCTCTCTGTCTTTGTGGATAGCCTGTAGGTTGGTAGGCAACTATCTGTCAGAGCACTATGGTCACAGGATCATGGGTTGGATCACTGAGTCTTTAGAAGTCACCTTTCCTGATAGATGTGGCCTACCACACCCCATCTCACTCACCACCCATTACACCTTTGCCACCAGCCTCACCCATTGCGAGCAAAGTTGGCCCAGAGCTTCATCACCATCTTGCTGAGGTTGATCTCTTCCTCTGAGACATGCTCTGGGGAAATAAAGAAAAATCTTTGCTATGCAAAGTGTGGTTCATGGGTCTGAAGCAGCAGCAGCATGACTTGAAAGCTTGTTAGAATGTGACCATTATGGTTACCTAAAATGTATCAATACACTTAATTAATTAAAAAAAAAAAGAAATGCAATGTCTTGGCCCTTAGTCTATACCTACTGAGTCAAAATCTGTATTTTAAGAAGACACAAGTTAATTGTGTGCACTTCTAGCTTGAGAATGGCTGATCTAGGACAGGAGCCATGTAGTCCATCCATGAGTTGGCTGCCTTTGTCTTTCATACCTACCCTGCTCCCTCTACTCTTCAGAGTCCTAATGCCACACCCCAGAGTTTCCTCTACTTTGAGAGATCACTGATTCCTCTGGGTCTCTTCTAAATATCCCAATCATACCCATATTTTACAGTCTAAAAAATATCAAAACTGCAAAGGTCTTAAGGAGTTACCCAGTGGGAGATGCCCACAGGGATGGGTGGATCTAGCCATGAGGTGGGTCACAAGTAACATGCAACTGCAGGCAATGAAAGTATTGAAAATACTGGTGAAAATTTCTCTTTAAGCATTATACTTTTATTCACTTATTTTTCGGTACCGGGAATCGAACTCACGACCTCACGCTTGCCAGGCAGGCGCTGTGCCACTGAGCTAAATCCCCAGCCCCAGCATTATACTTTTAAATAGATTAACATTAACAATATATAAATTTAAAATATATAGATGTAGATAGGCAGAGATATGCATAGATACGAACTAGACCTTACTCAGATCATCAATTCTATTCTTCCTCTCACTCACATCCTGATAGGAGCTGGTGAATCAGGAATCAAGCAGTGGCATTCTTTCCCAAGAGTGGGGCCCACTGCCAGGGCTGTTGGTGTCCCAGGTCAGGGTTCTGAGAGTGACTATGGCTAGGGGCACTTAATACACATCTTCCCGCATGTGTGTCAGAGCAGGAGAAAGCCTGAGGATTGCCCAGTGTAGCTTGTTCCTCAAAGGAAACTAAGAAAAGGAGAAAAGGATAACTTTGCTCATGGCCACCATATCAAGCCTGAAGTCAGGCTTCCTTATAGCCAGAAAGGGCGTCATTACCTTTCAAAAATGGGATCCCCAAGACAGAGTAGACTTCATCCCCATGGTCTGCTATCACTGTCTTGGGTTTCAAGTTTGATGAGAAGCTTGGACGATACTGAAATTCGTACATGTAGGTGGGGGCTCCAGCGTCTGAGAAGACACAGGTCATGCACAGTTCACATTACCAGACACAAATCTCACTGGTGTCAAGGTTTTAAGCCACGTTGGAAACTTCTGGTTTTCAGCAGTGTAGAGAAACAGAGTTTCAGAAAACCGGACTGGTGTAGGGCTATAAACCAGTCGAGATGAAAATGGGACTTAAGTCAGATATTGGTTGAATGATTGCATGAATGAATGCTAAAATCATGGATCCACCTCACATGACATCATAAAGACCCTGCCTCAGTTCACATAAGCCCCCTTGCCTCCTGACTGGTTCATATATAAGAATACCTACATATATTCAGCTCACAGTGGATGCGTTGCACTGGTAACAGACTGGTGCTGATTTATTTCAAGAAGATCTATGGGGCGTTGTCTTCTATTCAGCCTAATTCTGAGCAGTGTTTTTGTCACCCATTCAAAGAAAAGTAAAGCAATTCCAAGCTGCTCCTCTGAAAGCAAAGATAATTAAATACAAGCCTAGGGAAAGAGAAAACAGCCTGTCTTTTGTGTCTCAGGAAACTGCAAAACTCAAGTTTCTTATTTTCTCTATCACCTCACATATCCCTGGTTCCTTCTCGGTTCAAGGGATGTTAAGGTAGTACAGTGGAAGCAGATAAAAGAGGGTCAGGGAAAGGTGCACCTACCTTTCTTCCCATCTCTGCCTTTCTCTTTCACCCCCTAAACCATCCTGTCCAAGCCCCAAGAAGATACAATTTTTCCTTCTGGTTGAATCATTGAATCCACCAATCCCTGCTCCCTTAAGACTAACTCATGGACCCCAGCCTGGAACCCCAGCAGGGTTGCATTGGTCATAATGCCCATAAAAAATAGTGAAAATCAGCCCTAAATTGGTGGAGAAATCTGACACTTTTTTCTTCTCTGGATACAGTAAGAAACCTGAAAAATACAGAAAAAAAATACAGAAAAATACAGAAAAACAACAAAATCACTCTAATTGCACCACTCAGAGAAAGCCTCCTTTAATATTTTACCACACATCTCTTCTATGTATATAAAATTAGTATAAAACTGCATGTTATTTTGTAGCATATGCAACCATTTCTTCATGCAATTTAATATTCTTCTGCAAAATGATTCAAAAATATATGTTATGTATAAATATTTAGAATAGTTATTTAATGTCCCTCTCAACTTTCATCACTACATATGTGGTTTAGCAAAAATTGGTGTTTGGAACAAGCAAATTTCTGTGGTTGTGTAATCTACTCATTAAGCTATTGCTTCAAGGTCAAGAACTTGTTGGAAGGAAAAATAAAATTTCCTCTGCCATTCAAATGTTTAGGAAAGGAACTGGGACCACAATAAAAGAGAAAAGGCCTTTTGTGGATAACAGGATGCATTTTAGACAGCATGATGTCCACTGACATTTATAAAATTTGTACAATCATGACATATGTCTTCAAAGAAAGTAGGGCACATTTTGAGTAATAATCAGGAACAACATGAAAGGAGAGACAAAAAGAGTGCTAGCAAAAAAAATTATGTAGGAGGAGGTTTTTTAAAAAATTATTTCAGTATTGTAAATGAGAAAGACAGGAAATAAATTCACAGTCTCATACACTGAAAAACAATTTTGCGGTATGTATCAAACACTCTAAAAATGTTCCTGTGGTCTAGTCCAGTAACTTCACTTCTAAAACCTAATCTTTGGAAAATTACTGAAGATATGGCAAACATTTATGCACAGAAGACTCAACAAAATGTTATGTGTAGTATCAAAATTTGAGCAGCCAGCTTTAGTTTCCAAGAGGAAAGGAACAGTAAATTTTAGGTACCTAGTTGATGGAATAATGGATGTTTTCAATGGAATTTTATTGACCTGAGGAAATTCTTACAATGATATCTGAATAAAATTGTCATATAAAATTAATTTTTAAATGATATATAATATATAAAATGTCAGATGAAAGATACAAGCTCTCTATAGGAACCATCCAATGTGTAGGCTGGAATACCATAGATTAGACACACACAGCAGGAGGCACACCCCAGTTTGTGGAAGCACAGATTGGACCCCAGTCAGCCCTGGGAAAAAGGTTTCATTAGGACCTCGGAGAAGGTAGCAGTGGTTAGCTCCTGTATAACAATGTGCTTGAGGGGTACTTAGGCACCTAGTACATCTACTGTAGCTAATTTTCATCCAGCTATGAACCACTGACTTTTAAAGCCCTTCTAACCTAGCACAGAAGACCAGAGAAATATTTTTTTGGTTTGAGACTAGGCAGATGAGAGCTGTTATAAAAACAGTCACATGAGTCTCTCCAAATGGCATTGCAGAAAGAGATATGATATATGATCAAAATATACAGTGAATGATTAAATTTTAAAAATTTATTACAGTATAAGATACATTGCTTTTAATCCCTCTCAAAAATACTTCCCCTTGCTTTGGTCATATTTATTTCATCATTCTTGCTACTTGCTAAAGCAGTCCTACAGGTACTCTTTCATGAATGTCTTTATAATTGTATTTAAAAAATATGGTGAATGCTGCTGCTGAGTGCCATCCAATGGAAAGGTAGGCTCATGAAAACATTAGAGTATGTTCTCATCTACCTTATTCACTGGGTCTGCCACCATATTACTTCTGGCTGTTCTCAAAGTCAAATGGCCCTGAAAGATTTGAGTCAACCAAAGACACTCAAGAAAGAAGACTTCTGAAACTGCTTCAGAAAATGGAAGGAATGATGGTATAGGTATGCTCAAAGTGAGATGGAGTATTTGGAGGGAGATTAATGGCAATGTATTGTAATAAATTTTTAACATTATATATCTACCATATATTTTGATCACACCACATACTTCCTTCTGGGTGGGCTCAGGCATTCCTAACTTTGCATCCCACCTACACTGCACTGGCACAATATTGAAAGGTTCCATGATAGACTCCCCTGTGGCCCTCATCTTACCCATTTCTACACACACAGAGACAGACAGAAGCCAATCAGACATTGACTTTCTGCAGACCTCCTCTCCACTCTCCTCCTTCTATTCCTCCTTGTGGGCTTCTTGATCCTAAGCAATGACTGATGCTGTGTTTCACACCAGCTTCCCCTACCTCTATTAGTTTTATCAGACTACTTGTAGCCACCTCTGACCTTGGAAACCTCTAAAGGTTAGTTTTAGGTGTCAACTTACCTGAATGAAAGAATATTAAGAGAAAAGATAAAGCATTATTTTGGAGTGTTTTTCGAGGGTATTTCTGGAGGAGCATCAGATGTGAGTTTGTAGACTAAGAAGGGAAGATGCACCTTCAGGGTAACCAGGATATTTGGCTAGGGTTGAGAGTAGTGGGGGAAGACTGAAAAAAGGTTATTTCTTCTCTCTATAGCTAAGACACTCTCCTCCTGTTATTGGACATTAGAACTCTGGGATCTCTTGCCTTTGGTCTTCAGAACCTATACCAGTAGCCTACAAGGGTGTTGGGTCTTAGATATCAGATGAGAATTGCAATTTTGACTTCTGTGGTTCTGAGGCCTACAGACTTGGACTGAGCTATGCTAGCAACATCCCTGGTTCTCTGGGCTGGCTACAACCTGCAGTGGAACTTTTTAGCCCCCATAATCCCATGAGCTAACTTCCCATAATAAATCCCCTTATCTCTCTGTTGATCTAGCCATCCTTCCATCTGGTATATTTTATTTGTTCAGTCTCTCTGAAGACCTTAATATATCTTCTAAGATTCACCAATCATTATTTGTGTCCATCCTCATTACTATCACAACTGCAAGTAAGAAACTGCTTAGGAGAAGTTACTGATGCCTCACTTATTGTACATTCCATTTCTGGAAAGACTGGCCTGACTTCCATCTCCAGCATCTGTAGCTCCTTGCCTAAGGGTTTTCTCTGGTCACTACAGACTATTCTGCCCATCTTTGCAGCAGGCCAAAGCACTACAAACTTAAAAGTCCCTCAGAAAAGCCTTCAATCTATGACAAGTATCTATTCATGGATAAATACCCAGTCCCCATGCCACTTAAACAGGGTAATCCAGAGATGTCTTCTGTTTGAGTTCCAGAGCTCTCCATTCCCAACTGCATAAAGTGTACATGTGCTTGGCAATGCATCATGGATGGGCATCCCTCTTATTCCTATGCCACTTCCTCTTCATCTTGCTGGTATTTTCTGAGACTACTTTTCTAAGTAATTACTTGGATTTGCATCCTTTTCTGAAGAGTTTATCAGATACCACAGTTAGAATGTATCCCTTGTGCAATATGGAACCAGCCATAAAGGCCTAACTCTTAGCAGTTTACACCTTGCACTCTGCTAACAGGGGAGTGGTAAGACACTGAGATGGTGAGTCAGTGTCCTTCTCTTATCCAGCCTCTGGAACTCACCTCTGTGGCCACGGGCCACAATCACAGATGGAACGGCAAACATCACATCTCCCATCAAGGCTAGAAACAGGTCTTTCTTTTTGACAAGATCATCTGTCCCTCCTAAATACTCCTCAGTGGCCACTGGAGCCAGTTCCTCAGAGATGTTCTGAAAGGAATAAAGAGAATTATCACCCTCATCTGGTGAGTAATGCAGCTTCTGCTTCCAGGGAGGAAGGTTTGTGTGAGTTATGAACCTGCTTGAATCCTGTGAAAATCCATCCTGGGGTAATAAAGTGGGAAAGACAGAAGAATGGGGACAGAACTCCAGGTCCCAGACATTCTTTTACTATGGAATTGTTCTGTGATTTAGGGCCAGACCCCTGCTCTTCATTTATTCTCAATCCATTCCCACGATTCCTTAGACACTTACGGTAAGAGGATAGGACTTCCACAAGAGTGACGTGGCTGTCTTTTGATCCAGTTTGCCTTCAGAGAGTGGAAAACCCATCATCTGTTTGAAAAATATGGTCAAGTATTTGTGAATCATTGGGAATTAACCGGAAGAACCAGATCAGTCAAACCAAACCAGTGCAGAATGAAGGTCCTGTTTTTTAGGCCTTAATGGGCCCATGTCTTTGCTGAATTGAATAAAATTAAAGAATCAAGTTTTGGGTTTATATCCAGAAACTCAAGAAGTACAAAATAGACAAAAAATGTTAAGTGGAAGTTGTATCAGTCCATTGCTATCTATCTATCTATCTATCTATCTATCTATCTATCTATCATCTATCTATCTATGTATCTATCATCTATCTATCATCTATCTATCACCTACCACATCATATCTCTAGATATCAAGTTAGAATTCATACAAAGGTCATGTGAGCAGCAAGGGAATATTTAGATGAGCATCGTGTTGGAGCAAAGAATTTAGGAGCAGAGGGCGCAGATCCTACCTCATAGATTTTGATGACTCAGGAAGACAAAATCAAGCAGTATGTCTTTGGTCATTGATAGGCTCTGAGACCCTCCTGAAGTGAGAACTGCAGAAGTCTCAGCATGTGATGTCTTTTACCAAATCTCTTTATTCACAGACTTGATTCAGCTCTCACCTGGTTTCTTAAGGCCATGAGACCCTCAAACTGCTGGGCTGAGAAAGCTCAGTGCTTTCAGGTGAAATTACTGCTTCCTCTAGTCAAAACCTAGTGAGGACACACAGCCCCTTGAATCCTCCCTTACAACAGTTACTTTAGGAAACTTATAATTAACCCCTTTTCTGCTTTTGAGTTAATCTTTTCTCAAAAACTGTTTTCTCAAGGACTGAGTTGAAAAAATTTTTAAAGATTTTTAAAATTCTCTTTGAAATGCACTTAGGGAGAGAACAATCTCCCTGCTAGTTCCTAGGGAAAGATCATAGCTAGCTTTGGTGGGAGACTCGCTTCAACTACAGCCCTTCTTCCGGTCCTGAGGAAAGAGGTCCATTCCTCCTGCAGAGAGTGTGCATGAGCAAATCCTGCGGCATTGCCGTGTGGACTCATCCCTCACTCACATCCACAGTGCTTCCAATCTAGCCTGGGAGTGTCTCCAAACTTTGGTGTTAGGGATGTGAGTTCAGCTCATGTGTCATACTTATTGTTATTGTATTACTAAGCAAAACCTGTCCTAGTGCCTTAAACTACTCATTTAGCTTTTTTTAAAATCTTGAACAAAGGAAAGCACCTTTTTTTGTAGAAATAAATTTTAACTCTTGAAGAAATGACTTTCTCTGAACCTTTTCAATGATGGCCCTGAGAGCATGTGTGACCTATGGAAACTTTGAGTCCAGGCCCAAGGTGGGCGCTGTTGTACCCCAGCCTGATTGTCCTAGGCTCCCAGCTCCTTCCCCTTCCTAGGGGGCCTTGCATTTTTCACCTGCACAATTACTGTTTCTGCAGGCTTCCTAGCCAGGACACTTCAGGACTCTCTAAAGAGAAGGTAGAGTGTTTGGGGTGAGGGCCCACAGGGCTATAACATCCAGGGCACAGCTGATCCATCCTAGAGCAGGTTTCCAAGGAAATGCACACTCATGCCAATTGGACATCTGCTGTGGACTCCAAAAAAGGGTTGGATAAGGAAGAGCTCATGGGACTCAGTGTTGATGGGGCTTTGAGGGTGATCCTAGGAGACTTTTGCAATCTCACCGTTGGAATAAACCAGCCAAACTCTTGCTTGTTGATTCCCACAATGTAGGGGACAGCGCTGAAGGTCTTTGCAGCCAGAATCTCTTCAGGTGCCTTTGGCAGCACCATTCCATCAATCACAGTGGTCAGAAAGGGATAGCTCTAGGTAAGAGAAGCAATTTTCTGTGATTCCACTTGTCCAGGTGCCACCTATGTCCCCCTCTCTGCCTATTTGAGGGCAAGGCCAACACTGTAGAACTGAGTGGCCATAAGCAGTGACCACAGAAGCTCAACCTCTTAAAAAGAGGGCAAAGTCTTTGTGACCTCAGAGGGTAGAGCTCTGACCAGCAGCTGTTACTGGTTAGGTCATGAAAGGGTGGAAAATTTCACTCAAGGTAAATACAGGTTGAGTACTCTTTATTCAAACCATTTGTGATCAGAAGTGTTTCTGATTTGGGATTTTTTTCATATTTTGGAATATTGGTACATACATATTGAGATGCAGTGAACTTGGAGAAGAGATCCACATTCAAGCACAAAGATCATTTACTTCTCATATAAACCTTACACAGAGATTGAAGGCAATTTTATACAATATTTTCAATGTATCTGTGAGGGTGCTTGTGAAGGACATTTGCTGCATCATGTCAGCCCTCAAGACATTTTGAATTTGGGAGGATTTTGGATTTCATATATTAGGAATCTTCACACTGTCAGATAGGTTAGATAGTTCACTCAGTATGTATATGCATACATAAATGCACACACATATATTTATATAACATGTGATACAGTTTGAAATGTATGTATGTATGTGTCTATTATCTATCTATCTATCTATCTATCTATCAATCATCTATCTACCTATCTGCCTATCATCTATTTTTCTGTCTATAGCTGATTCCTGTTATTCACAATAGGAATGCTCTATAAAGTTACCATGAACGCTAGTGAAGACTGAACTATTGCTCTGGGAAGAATCTAGGCTCGAGCCTCTGGTTACTTTTTTTGTTCTTTGTTGTATGTATAAGTTTCTATTTTAAGACAGTTACATAATACAGATTTTTCATAAAGAATTAATTATAAGTAGTATTTATTTGTGATATAACACCAATCAGGAAGGGCTTAACTTTTTCTTTAGCCTAAGCCTCCCAACAATGCTGTCTACTATACTTTTTAATAATTCATCACTTCATGAATTCATAAATTTATCTTTTTCCACAGTTATATTACCCACTATTAATATTATATTACACATTCTCAGAATGGCCTCACCTGCAGATAGTTAAATCTCTTCCTCTTTTGGATGAACTGAGTTATTCACTCATTAACATTAATCTCACAGTCAACAGCACCCTAACTCAAGCCTGAAGGAAGCTCCCCCAGCACCTGTATTTTCTCTTACACACATCACAACCTCCTGTGTTTAGGAACCCTAGAAGCCACTTCAACACAATGGTTGGGAGTCATTTTAAGTAGATAAATAACTAACAGAAAACAGCAAAATGGTAAAAATAATCCCACCCCACATGGCACTAAATATATCACAAGTGAACAGGTCTAGTATGGATCATGAAACAAGGCAGAGCACTGCTGTATTCTATTTCAGATGGGCGCATGTGCATTAAGTGACTTAATTCTCACTGCTGTGCATATATCTGGCAACGATCACAAAACGCTGTGGGTTTGACATTGAGGTCACAAATATGTTTTTGCAAATAGCTGAATTCACAAGGACAGAATCTGTGACTAATGTGGATTGACTGTACGCAGTATGAACCTATCTGTCTACCTACCGATCTCCCCATCTACACACAGAGCTCTCACTAAAAAAAGGTTACTTCATGAAGGAACTGAGCTCCTCACCCTCAAGGTGCCTCAATTAAGAAGAACACCATAAGAATAGAATCTGGGATAGGCTAGTGTTATATTGATAAATATATTAATTTTAAGTTTTACCTTTGATGAAAACTCATGATCACAGATTAAGTGGAAACTGATTCACATGTCCACATCTGGAAAAATGCTTCTGGGTACATTTACATGTCACATTCACATGAGAGAAACTTGTTTATTTCACTGATACATCCTAGCTACTAAACCAGGTGCTGCTACAACAGAGTATGCTTGTGAAATCTTCTTCAAATGGATGAGTACAGCTCATTTCATCCTCACAAAGCCTCTAAGAGAAGTGCTATGATTCCTGGGGAGGGAGCAGAGGACACAAATTTAAGGTGCTGCAGAGTTAATGTCACCAGACCTAGGAAACCCTTTGGTAGGCTGGAGGGGAGGAAGGAGGAGGTGGGAGGCGACTGTGGGAGTTTCCCAGGAGGTGGAAAAAGACGGTGTCCTCCAGACTGAGATTCTGTGCTCCCTTCAGGCATAGCTAATCAACCCTGTGTCCTCTCAGGCAATCTGTCCCCTTTAGTCTGTCCTCAATCTGTGTCCTCTCAGGAGATCTGTTCTCTTCCTGAGCCCCTTACCTAATCCAGAGAGTGGAAGTTTCTAATGAGACCTAGTTCAGTCAGGCCATTTTAGGAACAGAAAATGCAAGTGAAACGGGGGAGTCTTAGTCTAGGGGACAGAGTTACTAACTAGGAGCACTTGACTGAAAGTCAAAGGAGTAAATTTCAGTTCTGCCTCTGATTCTTTCGACTGTGTTAACCAGAAAGTCACTACCTGTCTCTCTGCCTTAGAAATATACACTGAAGGAGTGACTGTGATTTCTCAAAGGAGATTTCTTTCATTTACCATGAGTAGGTGCTTAAAGGTGTTAACATTTAAAACCTCTAATCAAAAAATCAAAGATCCTTACCTCTCTGGGGTCTCCATGTACATTAAGAGTAAAAAATTTCTGTAAGACAAAGGCAGATAATGGGGTAAGAAGGCTTCCTTGGGGAGAAGCTAGTCTTCTGAGCTGGGCAAAAAGGTATCATACATTCTCACCTAGCAGAATTATGCAGGATATGAGCTCCACTGGGCATGAGTAAAGTGTAAAACAGTAAGCCAGGGAAGAGGTAGGCATCAAAAAGGGAAGGATAGACTGAGACCTCAAGCCAAGGTTCCTGGAGCTCTGGCAGGAAGGCTGCTATTGTGATTACTTTTTCTTATAAACTAGGTCATCTTGTGCTGCAAGGAAAGAAGCTGAAACATTTACCTCTTTCCTGGCATTAGGAGGAAGTTTTGTTTTAATTCTTTGAGCCTCAGTCACCTTGTGTGAACTATGAACCAAGACTCAAGTCCCAAAGTCACAATTTACTCAATCTATGAGCATAGAGGCAGCTATGAGCATATGAGCATAGAGGCAGCTTTTCTGTTCTAGTGGCCCACCATGGAGATATTGGAGGATCTTTCAGGTTCCAAGATCCAGATAGAGAAGTCAAGGACTCAGGTGACTCCGGAGATCACATTCATGCCATTCCCCTACAAATGAAGAGTTCCTATGGGCCCTGGATGCTGTATTGTCAGGGTGTTTATCCTGTTCAGGTTCCCTGGGAGGGCAGACTGACATGACCACCCATCAGCCTTTCAGGGTCACCTGCTCTATGGAGCATCCCAACTGGCTATAATGAATGTGCCCTCTCTCTGTGCACACACTTCATTTAACCCAAGAGGTACGTGAATGTGCTTCTCTTTGGATGGTTTCTTGGTAGCAGGGACTTTGCTCACTTCATATCTGTTTGCTCCCCTTGACATTCTTCCTCTACACATTTACCAAGGGTGGATCCATGAGTATATGATTACATGAAGTTGCTCAGCACATGGGGTATTGGTGAATTGGATGAACATATGAATAGAGGATGAAAACTAAAAAATAGATGATAAATGGATCATTCTTTTTGTTGGAATGATGGCAGAGTATAGATGTATGATAGATGATGCATGGATTTTGAAATTACTGAAGAAGGATGCATAAAACATTATGATGAACTGATATTTGATTTATCAATGGATTGGATAGATTAGTGGCTGCATAGATGGATAATTAGATAATGGATAAAAAATGGATGGATGAATGGTTTGGTGGGTGAATGGGTAGAGAAGTATTTATTTTGTAATCATAATTGAAGCAGAACCTTAGAAAATCTAGGAAATTGGACCACTATAAGATTATAATTTAGATAGCTTCTTAATCAACCGTTAGATATGCTGAAACTTTTTATATAATCTTTGTGCTTAGTATCTTAAGCCTCAAAATTCCGGATGATGGTTACTTCTGTGAATGTAAAAGAATTAATTTCTTACAAATACATCTGAATGCAATAATGGCAAAATATTAAGTTTTGAAGAATTGGGGGGTTATATAATTTATGTTATTTTTGGACATTTTTTGGCATTTAAGGTATTTCACAATGAAAAGGAAACACAAAATTTCCAGTTTGGATCAGGAGTCTGACCCTACCCAGGGTAGGTGAGATATTGTCCTAGGTGATATGTTCAGGACAAGAGGAGAGCTGGATGGCTGGAGTCAAGGGTCAAGTACATGTGGTGGGGCCACTGGAATGGACATGCTCACCATTTTCAGTGTGGTCTCCAAGAGCTCGTCCTCTGTCTTCTGGCGCAGACATTGAACCATGGCAGCTGATGTGGTGGTTTCACACCCAGCAGTAATAGCAATTTGCTGCAGAGACCATAGGCAACAGCAGAGCTCAAGGGCAGTATCACTTCCCTTTATCAGTACAGACAGAGGCATTTTATCTCACGCTAAATTTTTGAATACAGCAATGGGAAACAGTAATAAGAATTGCTCTAGACCAGGAGGTGTAGCTTCTGATTTCCACAGTGTTGCTTCAGTTACTAACTGTGGCATAAGCCAATTACACAATAACTGTGTCTTCTACCACCTTATCTCTATTAAAATGGTTTGGCGATCTTAAAACTGAATAGCTGAAGAATAGTAATGTGGATTGGTATTGTAAGAATGGAAGCCCAAATTCTATTTTCTGGCTGTGGTAAATGAACTACTGGTAAATTTGAAACCCCCAGCTGAACTGAATCAGTGTGGTGCTGGGTATGGAAGGCCCACCTAAGGATTGTGGCCAGCAGCATCAAAAGAGAACTGAAGAGGAAGATGGTGCTGTTGATTCTCCTGGAGAAGCTGGTCATACTGACTTTCCTGATGTGAACTCATCTTTTCTTATCATCAGAAGAGCTCAGGTCCTTGCTGTCACTGAGTATTACTGTGATCCTTTTCAGGAGAGCCCTAGTCTTTACCTTAAGCATTGCTTCCTGGCTCCAGTGAAGATCCCTCAGCTTGGATCTGCTGGTACACACCCTTCATCCTGCTGGAGCAGACTTTCTAGCTTCCGCCACTGACCTTTGGGCCTTCCTAGTACAAATCCTTGATTCAGACTTGCATGAGACATTGCCTGGGCTCTAGGCCTCCAGTTGGACTTGTAGAGGACATTACCATGGGCTCTAGGTCATCAGCTGGACTCATGCAGTCCATTACCATGGGATTCAAGCCTTTAGCTGGATTGTTTTTGGTCTTTAGTGTGTGGACAGATCTCTCGTGCTTTTTGCATTTGATTCTTTGGGTGAATATTATAAAATAATCCTATAAATTGTGTGTCCTATATTAATTCCTGTCCTTTGCAAACCCTGAGTACAGCACTGAGTTTTAATTCTATTGGTAAAAAGAACTGTTAAGTAAACCACTCATTTTCTATAATAGAAAAGAAAGCTACTACTCTGAAACTAAAGAGGAGTTTCTAAGCCCATAGGCAGATGTGGTCATATGTACTGGAAGCAAATTTTAGCAGAGGAAGGAGTCTTAGATAGATTAAGGCATGTTATGATGATGAGCCACAGTGAGTGTGTCTGGTATCCCTAGTGCCTCATACACGGTCTTTTGCAGGGGAAGGAAGGGAAAAGAAGGAGGGAGGAAGAAGGGAAGGAGGTAGGAGATGAAGGAGAGAGGGAGGGATACAGGCAGGGAGAAAGAGAAAATAAAAGTCCTGGAGTCTCTTCACTGTGCAATTTCTAATATATAACCTCACACCTGCCACCCCTGTTTCCATGAATAATAAGTTCCTGCTTGAATTGAACCTTGGCATGTTGCTAGTAATTAAAGAATTCTGAACAAAGTCTCAAAAGTTCTACAAATTCTTTTATTTTACTTTCTATTCATACTTCAGATTCCTCTTATAAGAGAAACCATATGGTATTTAAACATATGTCTGATTTATTTCATTTACATGATATTTTCACAGAGCATCCATTTTCCTATAAATAAAATATATATAAAAGGAAACAGGAAGATAGATCTTTTGCAAATGGGAAGAGGACCAAAAGATGGAGGGTAGGGGAGAGAAAGGAGGGGAATTTGAAGTAAAAGTGATTAAGATATGTCATGGACATGTACCAACTATTCATGATGAATGTAATCATGTGTCACAAACATGAACTAAAAAAAATTTTAAAAAAGAAAGATAAGAGGGAAGGGGAAAGGGGAATAAAAAGAATCAAGATATGTTAAGTACATATACCTATTTCCTATGATGAATGTCAACATTATGTACTGCAAACATGTACTCATAAAACATTTTCTAAATTCTACATATTCTTGGTTCCTCCATTTCTCCCCTCCTGCTATACATGGATGCTGCTCCAGCTATTCCGCCAACACCAGCTCTCAGATAGACCCAAACCCGCCACATCATGAGCTCCACTGCATAGTCCTCAAAAGAGCCGGTGCTCAGAAGAGTCCTCAGATAGTCCTCAGAAGAGATGTTGATCACTCTTAGCTTTAGCCTTTCATTGCTACCCAGATAAATACAAAGTCTTTACCACAGTTCAGCTCTGTGTGAACCGGTTTTCCCATCCTCCACTTACTCCGAGCTACCCCTGCTTTCTGTGCTCTGGCCACATCAGCATTCTTTCACTGTCTTATACTTCAGATGTTCATCTTTCTGATTCTGCCTCATGGATCACTTTTTCAGAAAGCCTTTCCTAATAATTCTCCTCCTACACTTAGACTAAATGCTTCTTTCGGGTTCTATTATCACATTAGATTCTGTAATCTCGCCTTCATTAATTGTGTCATAGTTCAAATCTTATCATTTGCATGATTACACAATCTCCTTAAATGGAATGGATACTGTGAAAAGTTGCAAGGTACGTGGATATGTCAAATTGTTTGTTGAGTGAATCAGTGGATGGATTCTCCAGACAGCAACCTTGGTCATGAAGTTTCACTGAGATATCCTTCCAAATCAACGTCATTTAAATGAGACCAGTAGATGTCAGACCACGATAGAGCTAGGAAGTGATCACAGGCCACTGCCCACTGCCCAGCCCAGCAACCTGCTTTGATGCACTTTGGTGAGGAATGTGGCCAATAGTTACTGTACTTTACAGGCTGTCTAACAACATGAGCTCTAGTTCTACCTCTGCCCCATGCTCGTGTTGACATTGATACATCATTTCCATGCTCTGCCCCAGTGTTCTTGTTATAAGTTGGGAGGAAAAACAAGGTGTCTCCTTCTCAGATTTAACCATTATCACCTCAGTGATTCTTTGATGATGTCAATGGAATCCCACCACCAGAAAGATCTCTGTGGATTCCACCAGAACTTAGGAGAATGTGAAAAGCTATCCAAGTGAGCCCTACCTGAGCTGCAGGCTGGGTGCTCCTCCTGAACAGGCATGGAGTGAGAGCCACACTACTCTCAGAAATAGCCCGGTGGAAGAGGTTCTTGCTTAGGGGTGATAATACCTGGCAGGGAAGTGCAGAGCAGAAGAGTTTATGCTCACAGGGAGTGGGGATCAGTGACTCTTTCCTTAAAGGCGCCTTCATGGAGCCTTAGCTTAGCACATGGAGACTCTGGGACTCAGAGCACATGACAGCTCCTCATCGGGCCTGGCCTGATTCCTGGAGTCTTTCTAGGTCCCAGCTTTCCCAACATAACCTCAACAAAGGAGAGCAAGATTCCAGAAGCAGGGACCAAACAGGACATTGTGGCATACCCTGACAATCAAAATGATGGAAAGCCAGCTTGGCAAATTCCAGACACAGATTATGATTCAGTATTTCCATTATTCAGAATTTATCTCAAGAAACAATGACCATGGAGCCACACCCACCACTATGATAGGTAAGCCTTAGTGTTAAAATGATTAGGAAGTGGAAAGAGAGAGAGAGAGAGACAGAGACAGAGACAGTCATCCACGGTAGGAGAGGAAGAATGTCACTGGTGCAGCTACAACTGGAGGCTCTTATGGCTCTAGGACCTTAAACTGAGTTTCCAGAGAGCCAAGGAGAGTTTGGTCCTTGGCCTTCCACCATCTGATGCAGTACAGTCAACCCCAAATCCAGGACTTATCAGCAAAGATGCCTACAGCTGGAGTGGCTGGTCTCTAAGACATCCCAACAGCAGCTTCATGAAGCCTGGCAAGGAGCCTGGTTGTCAGGAGCACTTACAAGAACAGAGACACTTTCACTTCCTGCTGATTCTCCAAAGATGGTCACTGAGCCTGGGTTCCCTCCAAAGTTGGCAATGTTGTCCTGCACCCAGCGCAGTGCAGCCACCTGGTCCAGGTGACCCCAGTTTCCTGGGCTGTGTTTGTCCCCAGTGCTGCAAGAAAACAGGGTTGGGGGGAAAAGGAACAGGATGTCATGGAGAACATTCAGGACCTCAGGTGTTCTGAGGGCTTGCTACAGTTGAATGGGGTTTGTCTCACAAGGGCTCATGTGCGGGAGACTTGGTCGCCAGCATGGTGATTTTGGGAAGTGGTAGAACTTCTAACAGGTGAACACTGGTGGAAGGTGACTGGGATATGGAGGATCTCCCTTCAGGAAGAATTAACATAGTTCTTCATGGAACTTTGATTAGTTCTTGAGGGAGGGGAATTATAAAAGAGCAACACTGGTCCCTCTTTACTCTTTGGTTTCTCTTACTGTCACATGTGTACCTAACATGGTAGTATCTGCTATCAGCCAAAAGGCCTTTACCACAGCTGGTACCATGTTGTTTGGACTTTCAGGCTTCAAAATTATAAGTTAAACCTTTTTTCTTATGATGTATTTAGCCTCAGGTACTTTGTTATATCAGAGAAAAATGGACTAATACAGAAAACTGGTACAGAAAGGTAAGCTTATTCCTATAGTTCTACTTGAAAATGTGGGAGTGACTTTGGAAAAAGATTAGAAAAGTTTGGAGAAAGAGACTAGTAAAGATCTAACATATAAGAGGTATGTTATGGGTGATTCTAGTAAGGGTGCAAATGACCTTACCTAAAGAATCCCCAGATTCCCAGGCGGTACTGAATGGTTACCACCACAACGTTCTCATGAGCAGAGAGTGGCACTCCATCAAAGGTTGATGCCCCACCAGACAATAAACCACCTCCGTGAATCCACACCATCACCTGAGGAAGCAATTATACTGATTATAGGAAATGCATCAAGAAGGACATAGGATTGAATGTCTGATCTGCTTGTCTATCTCCTGTCTGAGACTAAGGAGGCCATTACCCAAAGTCCACAGTGCCCGGTAAGGTTGCATGAAGCAATCTCTCTCCTCCCCTACTCTCTGAGACGGGGCCTGGCTACTACCACACTCAGCTTCCACTGGGTACCTGCCTTCCTCCTGAACCCAATGACACAACCTCACAAAACTCTTAAAACTGAGAATGCCACCACGAGACTAGCAAGGGCCAAGGATGTCATGTTCTCCCCAACACTCCACCATCCTAATGCCTGGACCATTCAGCCAGATGAGTGCAATTATTTGGTAGCCCTGTATTTCAGTTTCATCTCAGTAATCCTTTAGCTATGAATTCAACTTTCCTGGGCATGACTGATTTCTCAAACCCACACCTGCCCCTGATAGCGTCCCTTCCTAATATGTCTCACCTCTGCCTTCACTGCAGCACAAATTCTACCCACTTCCTAAACCCAGCTCAGATCTACTTTTCTTCAGGAAGTCTTCTGCCATTTGACTAGTATTACCTGAGTCTGAGTGCCTACTATGTACTAAGGTCTGTGATAACACTCGAAAAAAAGAGGGGATACAACAATTCTTAATCTGTATTTTAAAAGCTCAGATTAACAGTAAGTAATGAGAGTGGAAAAATTAATATTATAATAGTATTGCTTGATAAATAAATTAAAGAACTTATAACATGAGCCATGTTTCAAAAACAGCTTTAAGTACTTCAAGAAATAAACTGTCCATAAGATACGTACTAATATTTGTCCCCCTGACAGAAAAATTGAAGCACTTAAACTGTCCAACTTCCTGCAGCTAATAAGTAATAGCATCAGGATTTGAGCCAGGCTGTCTGGACCAAGAGTTCATCTGCTGAACTGCCCATGGACTGCAGCCCTTGGCCACAACATACTGAGCTGCTTGTTAGGACAAGAGGAAGATCTTGCAATACTGCCTCTTCCCTAGTGCTTGCTGTGTCCTTAGCCAGGACTGAAACAAGGCTTGGAAGTCATCACTGAGTACACACATGTGATTAATCCCACTTGAGGAAACAGAGAATGGGGGAAGTATAGAAATTGTCCAAGCCTTTTTGCCAGTCAAAAACAGACCTTGATTTAAACCCAAACCCCTCTCTGTATTTCCATAGTCTGTACTCATAGATAAGAGGACATAGACTCTCAGGGCCCCTGTTCACCCCACACATATGATTACTGTTTGTATCTAGTATAGGCACTGAGTCGAGGTCATCTATGACTGAAACCTGGACCCCAGGGCTGGTTGGTAATGATACACTGAAGAAGGTAAGATATGTCTGTGCAGCCCAGATGGCAAGATCTTGAAAGAAGGGTCTGCAAGGTCATGGTTTCATGTTACCTTAACCTCACATCTGCATATACAAGGACAATGAATACATAACAGAAGAGTGAAAGGGGGAGGGAACATTTGTCCCCACTTCCTTATACCTTACAAAGAATATGTGGGACCAACTTCTAATCTACCAGTTCACACTTCCTCCCTCACCCCACGGGGTCCATGCCAGGATGTTACTAGGAGACTTAATAGGTTCTGAAACTCACCCTACCTGCTACCCCAGGTGCCCTCTGTTTCAGCAGACCCTCTCCCACTGTCTGGCCTGTAAGTGGAGCCTACCTCATCTCTAAACCTTTGTTTATTTTGAATTACTGACTCAGAAATCATGAGCTGTGTTGCATACAATGCAGGAAGAAAGTGAGCAATAAAAAAGTCCTAGATGTTTGGCTAACAAAAGGAAAGCACTTCTGAGATTGTCTGAGATTCTTCCTCTGACATCTCCGTCATGAGACAGTGAAAATTTTCACAGAGACATCTTGGTGGGTTAGGAAAGGCCACACACTTGGTTTAATTTCCTTGTCTATGTTCAAAGAACTTGACTTAAAGATCAAAAAACCAAAGCTCTTGTCCTGGTGGCTCTAATACGTGACTTCCCTTTCCTCCACGTTTCTTTAAAGAAAGTGTTGGGGATAGAGTGTAGCTTAGTGGTAAAGCTATTATGTAACTTGTGCAAAATCCTGAGTTTAAAAAGATGGTTGTGCTACTGGTTTGTCTCTAGGACTCTTCCCAGCTCCAACTCTATTTTTTTTAGCTGATCTAGATATTAAACTCTTAAACTAGCAACTGAGGAAATAGTAGTTTCCTTTTAATTACTTTGAGAACACTTAGAAAAATTAAAATGTGACTTGTATATGTACAGCAATCACTTCCAGAAGTCCAGTGAGACTGAGGCAAACTGAGATATCAAATATTGATTTTCCTTTGGTTAAATAAAGCCAAGGGCCTGGACCATGATGCCTTTGCCTTGGGCTGTCTTTTTCCCACTCCAACCTGCACTGAATTGTCCTGGATACTGAAGGTCCCAAGGGAGGGTCCCTCATCCCCGTTGCTTACCGGCAGCCGGATTTTGTTCATCAGGTCAGCAGGAGAGTATATGTTTAAGTAAAGACAGTCTTCTGAGTACTCAAGAGGTATGTTTTCCAGTCTGTTGGTAAAGATCTCAGAGAGCACTGGCCCTGCTCCTGTGAGTTGGGAGCACCTGGTGAGGAGAGAGCGAAGAAGCCCTGAGATACACACCAATCTAAGCCAAGCTCTCCTGAGCCCAGGCAAAGACTCTGACTGTCTGGTTTATTTCCATCACTAGGGTTGTTGTAACTGGACTCAAGACACTGGGGTGGACAGAAGGATATATGGGTGTCCTGGCGAGAACTCTGGAACTCTCTAGAGTCTCCAAAGACCGTGCAAGGTAGAAGCCCTTGACACCTCACACTAATCAAGCAGCAGATCATAAAGAGGGCTGATCTCAGTTCTAACCATGCCTGCTACAGTGAAGGAACTATCATGGCTATGTAGGACACTGTTATGGGGCAGCTGCCCACGTAATACAATACACAGACTCATCATTATCCACCTCATCACAGATCCTGAGATGGCCTAGTCTCATGTCTGGCTGCTATACTTGCAGTCAAACAGCTGTCGCTCTACACAGATAGATCTGGGAGATGTGCCTCTCTGACCACTAAGATAGGCTTCATCTTGTGTCCCTGGGCACAACCTCCATCATAGCTTGCATCCCCTTCTTGGGTCTTCTTCAGGTCTATCTGAGTCAGAGAGCCCCAGCAGCCTTGGAATCCTTGTAAAACTCATGGAAAATCTGGGCTGAGAGAAATGCCTATGGTTGAAGAGGTCACAGGCTCAGAGAGCACAACACTGTCTGTTTAAAATCTTTGGAAGTCAGTATACCAATATTGTAACATGACCATGAACATCACAGACATTCAGGAAAATATGACCTCAATGAACAGTGTTAGGGAGCAACAGTTAGTGAGAGAGAAGCATGGTTTCTTTGAGAAATAATTTCAAATAGCCAAGGTCTTGTTTGTTTTAAGGAAGCTCAGCAGATTTCAATAGTTTAAGGCAAATAATTCAGAAATTCATCAGAGAAAGTAAACAGAAGGTATTAAAATGTCAAAGTGAATTGAAATCCTGCAGCCGAAAAGTACAATGAATGAGGCTGAGTGTGGTGATGCATGCCTGTAATCCCAGCACTCGAGGGGCTGAGGCAGGAGCATTGTTGCAAGTTTGAGACCAGCCTGGGCTACAAATTGAGCTCAAGGCCAGGCTGAACTGTATAGCAAGACCCTGTCTCAAAAAGACACACAAAAAAAGAAAATACAATGAATGAAATGAAAAGTGCATTACAAAGCATTAACAACAGACTTAAAGTGGAACACAGAAGCAGTGAGTTGGAAAGCAGACTTTGAAAGCACATAGTCAGAGGAGAAATAAGGAGGCAAAACAGACCAGAGCAAAGATGACCTCGTCTATAAACAAAGCTGGGAAAAACTAGCTATCCATATGTATTTTTTTTTTGGGGGGGGGTTTCCTCCGGTACTGGGAACCGTACTCACAACCTTGCGCATGCCAAGCAGGTGCTTTTTGCCTCTGAGCTAAATTCCCAGCCCCTAGCTATCCATATGTAAATGATTAAATCGAGAACCATATCTAAACTAAAAGAAAAATGAATTAAATATCTAAACATTAAAACAGAAACAATCTGTTGGAAATCAACATAGCTAAGACTCTTGAAGTCATAGGCATAGGTAAGGACTTTCTATACAGTATCCCAGCAAAGGAAATAGTAACAAGAATCAACAAATAAAATACTAAATTTAAAAAGCTTCTGTATAGAAAACAAAATGAAACAAAAAAACCAATTTGATGAAGAGACAACCTACAGAAGGTGAAAAATTTTTTGCCTGCTATTCCTCAGACAAAGGACTAATATTTAAATATATAAAGAATTAAAAAATTAGACCCCCCCATTAGATCCAATCAAAACGTGGGCAAGTGAAATGAATAAAAACTTCTCAGAAGAAATACAAATGGTCAGTAATACAAGAAAAAAGATCTAAAATCACTGGCCACTAGAGAAATTGCAAATTAAAACAACACTGAGATTCCATCTTACCTCAGAAAGGTCATATAAAGAAACCAACCAATAAAAATTGCTGGTAAGGCTGCAGAGGAGAAGAACTCCTTCTACGCTGGTGGTGGGAATGTATACTAGTAAAATCACTATAGATATCAGTATGGAGATTCTTTAAAAAATTAAAACTAGAAGTTTCATTTGACTTACCGTTCCCCTTCCAGGTATCTTCCTCAAAGGGTTAAAAACATCCTGTTACAGGGGTATATGTACACCTATGTTTATCTCAACACAATTCAAAGTAGCCAAATCTTGGAAGAAGACCATATATCCATCAACAGATGAATGGATAAAAAAAGGTAGTATTTATGCACAATGGGATGCTACTGTGCCATAAAGAAGGATAAACTTAAATAATTTGTATGAAAATGTATTCATCTTGAAACTATGATACTAAGTGAAACAAATCAGACACAAAAGTTTAGATATCACATGGTTTCTCTTATATGAGAAACCCAAAGTATAAATAAAGGCCAAAATAAAAAATAGATAATAGGAAACAGGAAGTCAGATCTTTTTCAAATGGAAGGGGGATCAAGAGATGGAGGGAGTAGAAAGGGAGGGGAGGGAAATGGATGAAAAAAGTGTTCAGATATGTTCTATATTTGTACAGACTCCCCACAAGGAATGTAGTCATTATGCGCTGCAAGCTTGTACTAATAAAATCTAAAAACTAAAAAAAATCTAAAAACTAAAAAAAAAAAAAATCACAACACATAAAACTCCAAACAAACAACCACAAAATAACAAAAGTCTCATCCGTTTTCATGAGAAACCACTTTGAAGGTATCAATATGTAACACAACAAGCATTGTTAATTTCCTACCACTTTGTTTGTAACTCTGCATTGTCTGTACTGTTCTTTTGCTATTTTGTAAAAGATTGTCTGTCTGTTAATGTTTTCCTCCTTTTATTTTTAAAATAAAAATAAATAAATAAATTTCAAAAAAAAAAAGCAGAATAAGAAGGAAATGAGAAGGGATGATGTGAACTTATGTCCAAGTGAGATCTTTTGGACAACATAAAAGGATAAAATATTCAGGTTATAAGAGTTGAGGAGGGGATGAAAGACAAAGAGACGGGATGATAACAGGGAATGTTCCAAACCAGGAGAAATGTATTGATATCCAGCTACAACAATGCCAAAGACCAGACAACAAGATATAGAATCCAACACTCAAAGATTAAAGACAAAGAGAAAGCCCTGAACATAGTGAGAAAAAAGAAGCAAATAACATAATAGGACTCCAGCAATACTTTCCCACACAAACAGAGACTGAAGGAATTCACTTTCTCCTGACTTGTCCTACAAGAACATTTAAAGGAAAGTCTTCAAACTGAAAGAAAATGACACCAATGTAGGACAAAATATTGTTCACTTCTATTGGTAAAAGTAAATATATAGATAATTATTACTATGTTAAAATTATAGTTGCGCTACATGCACCACTGTTATCTCTAAAAGGACACTAGTACAAATAATAGCTATATACAAGATAAAAATATGTGTTATCAAAAACTCTAATGGCAAGAATAGATGTAAAGAGGTTTTGTTTTCTTTTTAATAAAACTTAGGGTGCCATGAATTTAAAATACTTATAATATTTATACTATAAAATGTTTTTTGTAAGTCTTATGGTTACTGCAAAGAAAAATCTATGATAGATACACTAAAGCTAACAAGCAAAGAATCAAAAGGTACTACTAGAGAAAACCATTTAATCACAAAGGAAGAGAGTAAGAGATGAAGAAAGCAAAACAAATCTACAAAACCGAGATGCCTGAGGGCCAGTAGGGACTTGCAATTTTCTGTCCAAGCTCAGCAGATGAGAATACAAATCATGGCTCTGTGTATGATAAGGCTCATGAATTTAGACACAGCTGGGAGTGGAGAATTTACAAAGGAATGATGTCTTTCCACACACACATCTCTAGCCAAGTTTCAAGATAGAAGAGACAAGAACAAGTCTCTCACCTGCTCAACTAATTTTTTTCCAAAGCACTAATAACTATTTATGCTTTAACATATCATATAATTCATTTTTTAACCTTGAATTTTATCTCTCTCCCTCCAGTAAGTTCCATGAAACACCCTAGGAATCTGTGTTTTGCTCACTAATGGATTCTGAGAACTTACAATGTGCTTGGCACACAATGTTAAACAATGAATGTGTGCTGAATAAAGGGCTGTAGACAGATGTGATGATTCTGGAACGTTTCAAAAAATTCTACAGTGTGCTTTAGCATTTCAGAACAAAGTATAAGCTACTTAGAAGATGGTTCTGTCTTTGCTGCATCATGCTGAGACAAACAAGCTTACTGAAAGGTGCCAAAGCCACCTCCGCCAGCTTACATGGGAGGGTAAGAGGTGGTGTTCTTCACATGATCCCATGGTTCTGCAGGCTGTGGAGGAGCAAACCTCAGGGATCCAAGAGGGGGCTTGGCAAAAGGGACTCCCAAGAAGATGGCCACGGGCTGTGCAAATCCTTCCAAGCTGATGTATTTCCCCAGGACTTTGCCATGCACAGTATCCACCACTGGGGGCGAGAACGGGTTCCCTGCTGGATGAGGAGAGGAAAGAAGACTCATCAGAGTAGAACATTAAGCCTCCATTCCATGTGGGTTTTGCCACTTTTTAGGCCAGTGACCTTGAACAAGTCATCTACATCATCTAGGCTTCTTATGTAAAACAGGAGGTTTCTTATGCACAGTAAAGATGGCAAAATAGTTTCTTATGCAAAATGAGGATGGAAAAATCTGTCCTTCCTCAGAGAGCTGGCTAAAGGAGCAAACTAGAATTGGAGGCATGAAAACATTCACCTTAAAATGAATGCAAAAAGGAGAGGTTCTGGGAGGAATGAAAAAGGCCTTGAGCTTCCTACTTACAAGCTTCTGGAAGCTAGTGTCTTGTAACATGCTGGTCCTGACCTACATGGTGGAGGAGAGAATGAACAAGGGGCGGCTCCCATTCTTGAGAGGGCTGACCTTGTAGGGAGAAGGAGCCACACACATATTTAATGTAATTCTGGGAAGAAAGAGGTTGAGCCTTGACAGAAGAACCAGGAAGATGCTACTGGAGTTGGAAGAGAGTAGGAGGGCTCTGATTGGAGCGATCATGGAGGAGCTGTGCTTTGCAGCAGCAGGGAGTGAGTAAGGGAGGATAGAAGCAGCAAGGGTATGAAGCAGTCATAAGAGAATGTGCTGAGACTTGGAAGCAGAGAAACACAGGGCCTGATTGGGAAAGAGCAAGTGGCCTGTGGGTTCCACCAGATGAGTCCGTGGGGCGTGGAAGATCATCCTAGAATGAGCAGGTGAATGTCAGGGAGGAACTCACATGCAATGCTAAGGGATTGGATTTAATTTAATGAACAAATAAGCAGGAACAGTTCTGGCTTATAGGACACAACAGGCTTCTAGAGTATTCTTCAGATGACTCTTAGGCCAGTAGAGGGGAAATAGAGTAGACCTCATGTTCCTGTCTGCTTTATTCCCTCCGTTCTTGTGGAGCAGACAATTATTCCTCATCTCCCCACAGTTTCCTCATCAGTCCTGGTTCTACCTATTGTGGGATGAAAGCGAGCTAATCTTTCAGATGGATTTTCACACACTTGATCATGGCCATCCCTGGAGTTGCCTCTTGTCTTCTTGCTTCCACAGTCTCAGTTTGACAGAGCGTCTCTCACAGGACATGATTTATAGTCTCTTCTTTTCCTAATTGTTTGAATTTGGATATAAACAATATGTCAACATCCTCCTCAAACTAAGCAGCAGAACAGAAGAGAATAATCCATATTTGGTCTTTAAAAAGAATCACCAATGGCCTTGAAAAGCATTCATAGCAAACCAGGTTACAAAGCAGTATCTATGTCTCATGGTATCAGTAGCCAATCACATACTGTGGATTTAGGTTGGTTATTATTGTTACTAATTATTGCAGATAACACCAAGCCAAACTTCCTGGGAAGCATCTACCAGCTATCCCCAACTTATGTTGTTTTGACTTAATATGTTTTAACATCTTGAGCATGAGATTATCAGGACATAATCTCATAATAAATGTAAGTGTATGTGTATACTGAGATGCCCATTGTAGTGACAATGTAGATTAATATTTTCTTTATTCTTTTCAAGTTTTCTGCGTAGATCCTAGATTTCCCTTGAGATCCATAAGAATAATTTTGTGAGGAAATACAGTGATGTCTATAATTAATTCTGAAGAAAGCAACTCTGTAGACTATAGTGTGAGGGAAGCAGAAGGGAAAGGAGGAGACTGAACAGCATGTGTGTGATGCTGGCTCCATGTTAGACAGGGACGTAGAGGAGTCAGTGGGAATCCTGGGAAGAAGATGTCACAGGAGGAGGTCCCTCTGTCTTTGGAAGGAGACAAAGGCATCCACCTGAAGGTGAGTGTGCACACCATGGGTGTGTGTGACCTCACAGCAGACCCATGTGAGAGAAGAGAACCAGCTGAGAACAAAGCACAGAGATAAACTGCAGCTGAGACTGAGCGCACCCACCAGAGAGGTGGCAGGAGAAGGGCATGGCATCAGGGCAGCCCAGGGAGAAGAGAAAGACTGGGCTGTCAAGAGTGCTGCATGCTTCAAAGAGATGAAGGAGGGTAAAGTCTGGGGAGAAATCTCTAGTCGTGGTCTGCATTAGCTCAGTAATAACTTTCCAGCCAGACGAGGTTGGTAGACGCCAGACTGCCCAGGGTGAATGTGAAAAGTGTGGAAAGCTTAAACAAGGATGGTGATGACAACAGTCACCACTTAGGTTACATGGACTGTGCACATACTGAGAAGTTACTGTATTCTAGACATCATCCCAATTGCTTTAAGTCAGTCCTTCAAAAACCCCCACTATGTAGGCAATAAGACAGCCAAGGTACAGATGAGGAAACTAGAATTAGAAACAGCCCATGTGTACTTCCTAAAGTCAGAAATGGGTGGTATTTCCAGGGTAACTAGTAGTGAAGGATTGCTCCACTCCAAATTTGGGTCCATTCTGAATTCTGCATTACAGGCAGTTTTAGGTCTGTCACATGGCCAAAGAGAAGATAATATCTAGTTGGGGGGTCTATAGGTGGGGCCTGTCAGGACACTGATACCTGAGTACTACTCTAGATTCAGAAACCAGAGGTAGACCAGGGTAAGATTTTCCAAGAAGCCTTGGAAGAGTCTCTGAGTCTCAGTTTCTCTGTTGATAAAATGGCGCCAATGTATGTTGAGGTCCTTTGCTATAAACCTGTATTAATGAATTATCTCATTACTACATCAAATGCTTATATCTGAGGCCATACTGATCCTGGAAGAACTGCCACTCCCTGGGTCCCTTCCATTCAGATCTCATATCCCCATTGCCTTCTTTATCAAAGTCTCATACCTCTGGCCAGCATTTACTTTGCCCTAATCAAGCACAACCAGGCATCATACCGACAACCCCTGTGCCTAAAAATCCCCTGAAGTTATTTAAATTACCCAACCCTGTGCCTGCTTCCTGCCTCTCCTCCTCCTTCCAGAGAAAACCCTGTTAAAGGCCCCTGTCCACAATACCTTGTCCTCTCTGCCTCCTGACTGACCTTTGTGCTTCCCCTTTCCCCAAGCGATGTGACCTCTCCTCTGGGAAACTGTGAGCAACGGGTTATCTTTCCAGTGGCCATTGGATCCCAGTCTGATTTTACCACATGACAAATTTCCTATGAGTAAACTCCATTTTAATCAACTCCTTCATCCATCCATTTCATGCACCTCCTCTAGACCAGGACCATCCTAAGTACTTTAGAATCAAAGCTCCATTTTATCCACACTGCAGCTCACTGAGTTAGGAGAAAATGTTTTTTCTATTTTAGAGATGTGGTGAGACACGCACAGCGAAAGGACCTCACCTATAGACACATAGCTTGGAAGTCCTGAGCTGGGATTCCGATCTCCACACTGGCTCCTGTGTAGATATTTTTGTTATTCTGCTAAGCACCTTCCAAGATCTGACCATAGCTGCGCTAAGAATCAAGGAAAAAGATATTAGCTCTCTTTGTTTCTCATGTGTGAAGTTAACTTATTGCCCTCCTGAAACTACCAGGTGCAGCTGAATCTCTGCTGTCTCTGTAGGTTTAGGTCTGGCTGGGCTGCTCCAAATTCAAGTCCAAGTTCAGAGGGTGAACATCTCTGCGTATATGGACCTGTCATTGCCCAGCATCACCTCCCACCTGCTCCAGAACAAAGACTTCTAAATATGCTCCCAAGGGTTTGTATTTCAGAAGAACTCACCCCAGGCTGTGCAAGCCATGAGAGAAACCAGGACCAGAGCACAGGGCCACATCATGGAAGGCCAGCAGCTGCTGCACCCTGTGAGATCCCCAAGTCACTCTGAAGGAATTCTCAAGTCCCACTCCAGATGCTGAGGCCCAGTTCCTGTAGCTTTGCCCCTGAAGTTGGATTGCTTAATCGTAAGGTGATAAAAAGAAACCTCTCCCCTTCCGCAGAGGTCCTGAGGGGTTAATGGGAGCTGGAAGCCCGGCATAGTCTGAGTTCAATCTCTTTTATCTAAAGAGCTAAAACTCAACTCTCAGATTACAACCAACCACAAACTGGGACAACAACTTCTTGCACAAGAATTTCTCCCTTTTGGGACCCTAAGCTCAGTGCACTGTGAGCTTCTCAAGGGCATGCACAGAAGCAGATGTCTTCAGATTCAGCACAGTTTTGTCTGGGGTCCTCAGAATGAATCAGTAAATTTTAGAACAGCTCACTCACATCCCCAGAGCTGTTCATTTGGGAATTTAGGACACCTCTCTTAGCTTCCTCGGGCTGCAGCTTCTTAAAGTTGTGGGCTCACAAGTTTGCAAGCAATCTTACACTTCATCTAGCCCCTTTTGATGCCTGAACTAGCTTTGCAATATTCCTACCAATGCCTCTGCTTGTTGCTGTATACCTCCAGGACCAGGGAACTCATTTCTTTTTAAAGCAGGGATTCCAGAAGAGAATATTGTTATAGTAAATGAACTTCCTATCTCCAGAACCCCTACCTCTAATTATCCATCCACTTACCCATTCATTCTTTTTTTTTTTTTTTTTTTTTTTACCCATTCATTCTTCAAATATGTCCCGAAATGCCTGGCTTTTGACAGCAAGGTACAAAAACTGGGAAAAATAAAAGTGCAGCCCCTGATCTCTGTTCTGCCTGTGAATTCAATCTTTTCAGGTCATGGATTATACTGTTTCCCCTTTCTTCATGTTACAGAAAAAAAGAACAACATATATAGTATTGGCTACTAATTTAATGATTTGGTATGGCCTCTATGCTACAGTGTTAGCGCTGGATTGGAAACTTTCTCTGTTACAGTGCTGCCCTCTACTGGACATGGGGAAATTCACAGGTGAAGAAGGCATGTTTCCTCCTAAAGTTTTATTTTAGATTTATGTATGGTACAAGCTGAAGATTATTTGGGGGAAAAACAAAAATAAAAAGGCTTTCTGTAAAAATGCAAATTTATAGTTTTACTAGAAAATAATTAGATATTTTATGTTTCTACAGCGATGGAAAATAGAACTGAATATAAGGTATGTCATGTGGGTCTGTAGGAAGTGAACTTGCAAACTGAAAGAACAGTTCAAAAAACGTTTGGTCTTGAACCTACTTCATCTTGTGCTAAAAAATTGGATACCATAAATAATATTTTAAGAAGTACTAACTCCTAAAGCTGTTCATACAACTATATGTTGAGGATAAGTGTTGAGAATATTAAGGCAGTTTTTTTCAGGGGGATAGAAAGTTTCTATCAACCTGGAAAATAGACATGACACACCACTCAGATGCAGCAGTTCTTAGTCAAAAATGTCCATCAGAATGTCTGAAAACAGAAAAATTAGGTTTCCAGGTCTCACCCAAGAAGATTCTACTTCAGTTGGAAAGTAGTGCGGCCTCACCATTGGAATTTCGGAACAGCTTACCAAGTGATTCTTTTATCATACTCCCTTGGAAAAGCTTGAGTTAAATGGAAACATATGCACACACACACACTGGTACCAAATATCATTTATATGTTGTCTTAGTTACTTTTCTTATTGTTGAGACAAAATGCCAGACAATGAAGTTTAAAGGAGGAAAGGTTTATGTGGCTCACAGTCTGCAGAGGCTTCAGTCTGTAGTTGGCTGGCTCCAAGGCAGGTTAGCACAGCAGAGGGGCATCACAGAAGAGAAATAGTTCATGGCAGGTAGAAGACAGAAAGACAGCAAGCAGCAAGCTACAAGAGACAAGCAGTAACTCTCTTTCTATTCCTTATATTTTATATAAGCTTCTCACCCTTAGGGCAGGTAGCACTCACCTATGGTGGTGTAGCCTTAATTCTAGCATCATGCTATGACTCAATCCCAGCATCACATCTTTCTTCCTAACAGCGCACTCCCTAATCAGGCCACCTGTGAAATTCCCCACCTATGATCACATGAGGCTTTGGAGGGACATCTAGACATAAGCCATAACATTCCACCCCTGCTCTCCCTAAAGACTCATGCACATCCCCTTGTGCAAAAAGCAGTTAGTCCATCTCTAAGAGTTGTCAAAGTCCTAACAGTTTCAGCTTTGCTGAAAAGTCCAAGTCTAAAGTTTCCTCTGAGATTTAAGGTAAACACTTAGTTACATACCCTATACAAATGAATAGAAACTTAAACACTTCCAACATATATGATGGCACAAGATAGACATTCCCATTTCAAAAGGTACAAATAGGGGGGTAGATATGAGTGGGACTAAAACAAATCCAAAATCTAGCAGGGCAGACATTAAGTTTCATACCTCCATGTCCAGCATCTGAAAGAGGTTAACTCCAAAGGGTTTTGGTGGCTCTGCCCCTATGATACTGCTGATGGTTGCAGCTTCCATGGTTTCTCTCTTGGGTTAGTTTTCATCACTCCTTGCAGCTTTCCTCAGACAATCCATCATCCTGATTTCTCCAGTCTTCTGAGGTCTCCATAGCACCTTCATGTCCACAAACTGCCCTGTGCTATATATCTTTTTCCTTCCACTTTTAACCAGTGTCCTTATATTTATAGTGTATGTTCACCCAAAATTTATTTTGGATGTCAAGACTGATGATGCCACAACCACTCTAGGAAACTGAAAAATTTTGTTACATGCTTATTAAGGTTTCTAGGAGGGGAGCAGATTAGGCTTTCAATCAGGTGCAGCATGGTTTGACAGAGCAAGTGTAAAATTGTAAAATTCCAATTTTATACTTTCAGTCTCCCTTAGATACTGAGTGTGATGTTTATGTGGTTAGAGCCCTGCTAAACAGTATAAGTTTTGGGTTTTTGATTGACTCCAAAGGAGGAAGACTCCAGAATTTCTTATCAGCTTCTCCAGATAAAAGACAAGATACGATAGGGAAGGACTAAGGGAAGGGGAAAAAGAGTTGGAAGGAGGAGAAGGAAAGGGAACAAAAAATCCTCCCCAAATTAAGCCGTCTTATATGCATGTACAACCTCCCCATGATGAATGTGATCAGTATGTACTGCAAACATGTACTAAAAAAAGCCATGAACAGTCAAACATCAAAGTATGGAGTCAGATTCTTTATTGTACAGGGTTTAGTTAGGTGTCACTCTTTAAATCCAACAGGACAATCTCATTTCACTGACATCTTTAAATCATTTTTGTTTAATGGATGAATTATATGACTAGATTAAATTCAGTCATCTTAGCAGAGCTTTTATGTGTGTTTACTCATGTGTTTCTTATTTTTTTTTACCTGTTTGTCCACTTGCTTTGAGATTGAAGTTTTTCTATGGTTCCATTTTATCTCCACGCTTGGGTTATTATGCAGTATTTTTAAAAATGGCAGTGGTTGTTCTGGATATATAATATTTGACTTTGAATGGTTACATATAATTAAACAATATAATTTCAATTACATGAAATTTAATAAAACTTTTAAGAATGTACTGCAAAGTAGTATCTTTTATCTTTAGTGCCATTTTCTGTCATATTTTGCCTTCACTGGTACATGTGTGGTTCCAATTTTACACTTCCAGTTTCCCTTAGCAGTAGATTTCTGGTGCATGTCACATGGCATATCTGCTGACTCCAGGGTAATACCCAGGGGTGGTTCTTCTAATCCTGGTCTTTGCACAACCTTAGCAGACCTGGTGTTCCTCAGTATTGGAGATGGGGCTTTTTCTGTGATCCTGCCCCTGTCCAGAAGTAACTTATCTCTAATGATCATGATGCAGAATAATTTCCAGTTCCACATTAAAAAGAATAGAATATTTTCCTTCTCTTCAGCCTCAATAGATATTCACTAGCCCCAGGAGGGAAATAAGATTTTCTGTTCTTTCCTCAATGGGGTAAAACTTTGTTCCTTTGTAGAAAAGTGTCCCAAAAGACTTTGTGCCTGCACCCAACCCTGGAGGAGGATGGATTCATCTCCAGCCCAAGACACATTTGGTCTTGAAAAGAACACTTATTCCCAAATTGAGACCTTGAATACTAGCATTCTCTCTCCCTGGAATCTGTCCACTCTCATAGTTCCCCTGTCTCCACAGCACAATGCCTTTTTTGTGGAAAAACACCTTCTGTAGAATATGCCTGTGTCAGCTGCTTCAGGCTCCCGGGGCTGGCTGTGCTTCTCATTCAGAGATCAATGTGCTGTCTTTGGCGTGGTTTCTCTTTTGCACCCTTGGTCCTGAGCTCGGTCCAGAAAGCCGCTTCTTTGTCTTTCAGCCTCTGAGATGCCTGGGTAGTGGCAGCAGTCTGAAGATATCCTTCCTCCTGGTTATTCTGGCCAAAAGAGCAAGCTCTTGTGACAGAAAATGCAGCCCCCACCCCCAGCCAGTATACTTCAGTTACGTAGTTTCCCAGGTAATAGTTCCTGCAGTTCCAAATTCTTCTGTCTCCTAGAAATGGCTAGTCACTGTGATGCATAGCTGGACATTATGATGCATATCATAAGAACCAATCCTCAACTGACAAGTCATTCTGCCTCTGTACTTCCTGCTTGTTTATCCTATATAAACCCTAGACCACCAGCAGTCAGGGCCTGATATTTTGAGAACGATCCTGGTCGGTGCCCATCTACATAAATAAATCTACCTCCAAATCCTGGGTGTCACTTTGGTATTTCTGCTTGCCATTGCACTCTCACCACTGAGGTTCCTGGGAAAAGAATCAAAGAGGAATTAAGCAAAGTTTCCATGTGGTCACCGTATTTCTCTGAATTTTGCAAGAATTTTGTGATTTATTCTACAAAGGGGGCCATATACCTTTACAGACAGGGAGGTTTCCATCTTTTTAGTAGCTTGGCAGTCTTTAGAGAGATCTTGCTATGTTTTGGATCCGAAATGTTCCCCAGACACTCATATGTTGAAAGTTCATTCCTTATCTCATGGTGCACTGCAAATGAGTGTAGAGGGAAGAAAAAGACGCTTGAGGACTTGCTCTGGAAGTGTATGTTAGGACCCTGCCTACTTTGTTTCTTGCTGTTCTGACTGCAGTGAGGTGGGAAACTTTGCTTCA